CTTGGAGTTTTTATGGACTTCATGAATCGATTTTTCCATGAATACTTGGACAAGTGTGTCATCATTTTCATTTATGACGTCTTAGTCTATTCTCAAAGTGAAGAATAACACGAAACACATCTAAGAATTGTGTTAGGGATCTTGAGAAAAGAAAGGCTTTTTGCAAAATTTAAGAAATGTAAATTTTGGTTGGAACAAGTGGTATTTCTTAGACATTTGGTCACATCACAAGGAATAGAGGTAGACCTCAGTAAAGTAGATACGATATTGAACTGGTCTAGGCCAACCAACGTAGGAGAGATTCACAGCTTTTTGGGTTTAGCAGGATACTACAGGAGGTTTATTGAGGGATTTTTCAAAATATCTGGACCATTAACATAGTTGACTCGCAAGACAATAAATTTCAAGTGGATGGAAAATGTGAACACAGTTTTGAAGAGTTGAAAAAGAGATTAGTCAATGTACCAGTGTTAACCATACCTGAAGGATCAGAAGGTTTCGTTATCTACAGTGATGTATCCAAGCAGGGTATTGGATGTGTTTTAATGCAACAAGGAAAGGTAGCTACTTATGCATCGAGACAGTTGAAACCCCATGAGCAAAATTATCCTACACATGACCTAAAACTAGCTGTGGTAGTCATGCTTTGAAGATTTCGAGGCACTATCTTTACGGAAGAAATTATGACATCTATACGGATTATAACAGCCTTAACTACATCTTCACTCATAAAGAGTTGAACATGAGGCAGATGAGATGGCTTGAATTGGTAAATGATTACGATTGTGAAATTCATTACCACCTGAGCAAGGTGAATGCAGTAGCCGATGCCTTGAGTAGAAAGACAATGGGACAAGTGGCGATGTTAACAGCACAAAGGCCTTTATGGAGAAAATTTTAGAAATTAAGTCTTGAAGTGGTAGCTACCTCTTTCCTCAATTTTATTTCTCGAATGACAGCACTTGTAGTTCAACAAACTTTTCGTGATCGGATTAAAAATCATCAAAAGGGTGATCAATTCTTGGAGTTTATCAAAGCTGAGATTTACATAGAAAAGATGAAAGATTTCACCATAGCTGAGGATAAAACATTATATTATCAAAGACGCTTGTGTGTACCAGATTCGAGGAATTGAAAACTAGAATTTCGGAGGAAGCAGACTCTAATCCTTATTCGGTACGTCCAGGAGGTACAAAGATGTATCGTGACCTAAGAGTTGTGTTTTGGTGAAAAAATATGAAGGAAGATATAGCTAAATATGTGGAGAAGTGCTTGATATGTCAACAGGTGAAAGCCGAACATCAGTGACCATCAGGGTTGCTGTAGTCGTTGGAAGTTCCGGAATGGAAATGGAAACATGTGATGATGGACTTTGTTGCAGGATTCTCAAAGTCAGTAAGAGGACATGAGGCTATTTGAGTGATTGTTGACTGATTAACCAAGTCAGCTCATTTCTTACCAATTTACATGACATTTTCTATGGATCAATTTGCACAATTATATGTCAAAGAAATAGTGAGGGTACATGGTGTCCCAATTTCAATCATATTAGATATAGATCCAAGGTTCACATCGAATTTTTGGAAAAGTTTACACCGAGATATGGGAACTAAGCTAAAATTTATTACGAATTTTCGTCCCCAAAACGGATGGTCAGTCTCAGTGAACGATTCAAATGCTTGAGGATATGTTTCGCACATGTATTATTGAGTTTGTGGGACATTAGGAGAAACATTTACCCTTGATTGAGTTTGCATACAACAACAGCTATCACGCCTCTATTAGCATCATCAGGTACGGAGCTAGCACCAAGTGAGGAGGCGCGACCGAACGTGTTGGTGCCGCCTAAATCTTTAGAGCCGTCGAGTAGTGCCAGTTGGGCTGTGGCATGTGGGAAGGGCTTCAAATTTTGGGCCTCCTATTGTTAGCCTATTGCTAAATGAAAAGAATCCAACTTTTCGAAGTCCAATTAGTTTATTGAATCAAATGCCCAAATCATGAAATCAACCAATCCCATTTCTAATTTCTCCCAAATCGAAGAACGCTGCTGCCTCTTGGAAGTCTGCAAAAGCCCTTTTCCAATTTCTTCAATTTTTCCTTTGCCGCAATCGTCCCTGCCCTGCGCGGCTGCAATGGCTACATAGTACACATGAGAAACGACAGTGTCGTTTGCTAGATTGCCAGTTCGCCCTACTCAGATATGGTCGATTTTTATATTCTTGCATTGTTTATCTTTGTGACTCTGTGTGTTTGTTTAATGGGTTAATTTTGTTTGGCGCTTAACAACTTAAGTAATGTAAAATAATGTAAAATTTGTCTCTAAAATTTGGATTTAAGGGTTTTTCTGACCCCGATTCACATCACGTGTAAGTGTAATTATAATTTATAAGTTCACCAAATTGTTTTCACTTTTCAGTGTCTATTGACTATTATGATTTATGACATTATGATTTATGTATTTAATTAGAAATGGGTTTTTTGCCCAAATTTGTATTATGTATTTAATTAGCAAGTACAATGGTTCACTGGTTTGTATTAGTTTTGGTCTAACACTTCCTCTTCTAACTTGTTCTGCCCAAATTTTTTCACTATAATGAAAGAGAAAATAGGTCTGTACCTGCACACGAGAGTGACAAGACACTTCTTCCTTCGCCCGTTCGCCGTTTCGCTGCCTCTTTGTATAATAGTATGTGCTAAGTGCTAAATTGACAAATTTAATTTAATTTTATTGTAATTAGTATGTGCTAACTGCTCAACGCCATGTTTAAAATTAAGGGTATCAACTTGGCGTGAAATTGGCATCTCCCCATAGACACTGATAGAGTGTCCAAATTTGGAGCAGAAAAGCAGAATTCTTTGTCCACTTGGCGACCAAGTTCTTTGGTTGGAGCCAATATTAATGCCAAATGATTCCTTTCTCAGGTCAGTGACTTAAGTTAATGTTAACTATGTTATGATTTATTCATTTGGGAATTAAAAAATTGCGAATTGTGATTTATGAATTATGATGAGTAATTTACGTTTTATGAGTTACAATTATTGATTCGAGAATTTATGTTTATGAAATTATATTTGCGAATTGAAATTTATGATTAGTAATTTATGTTTTGATGAGGAATGATTAATGATTTGGGAATTTATGTTTACGAATTTACGTTTGTGAATTTGATTTCTGATAACTAATTTATGTTTTGTAATTGAAAAATAAATTGGGGCATTTTGCAGATAATGGAACGATTTTTTCAACCAAAACGAAAGTCCATACTCAATTCTTCTACTTCTAGTTGTGCATCTAGTCCTGCCACTGATTCTATCCGAGCACAATAGTTATTGAATAACACAAAGAAGTCTGGGGCTCAATTCAATGTAGATGATCTTGTATCTGATCCAGGGATACGCCCCCTATCGAGTCATATGATCCTAACATCATAGATGATGTTAGGATGACATACTTGGATAAGGGTCCTTGTCAACCATATGGACATGATTTTCTAAGAAGATCGATGGGGAATGATAATAGATATTTTCGGAAAGAATGGTTTTCCGAATTTTATTGGTTGGAATACAATATAGAAAGGGATGCAGTGTACTGTTTGCATTGCTACTTGTTCAAACCCGATAGAGGGGGTCAAGGGGGTGGACATATATTTACTAAGACCAGCTTTAGGGATGGAAGCACAAAAAGACATTGAAAGATCGTGTTAGTCTCTTTGATAGCACTCATAATCAAGCTTTTGCAAAGTTTACCAACTTGATGAATCAAAAGCAAAGTATCTCCAATGTTATTTCTAGCTAGAGGAGTAGTCAACAAAATAGTTATAGGACAAGGTTGACTGCGGTGTTAGATTGTACTAGATTTCTCTTGATGTAAGGATTACCATCTCGCAGTCATGATGAATCCAAAGAGTCTCTTAACAGAGGAAGTTTAATTGAGCTATTAAATGGGTATGCAGTTCCTAGTAAAGAAATTGAAGAAGTGTTATTTAGTAACGCTTCTGGAAATGACCAAATAACTTCACCAAACATCCAAAAGGATTTGGTTAACTGTTGTCCCATAGAGACAAGAAGGTCTATTATCAATGAGATGGGTGATTCTTTGTTTTCAATTTTGGTTGATGAGACTTGTGATAATTCTATAAACGAACAAATGGCAGTTGTTTTAAGGTTTGTTGACAAGAGTGGGAAAGTGAAGGAGCGTTTGTTGGGCATTTCTCATGTTACTGATACCTGTGCCCAATCACTGAAGGATGCCATTGATACAATATTTTGTACAGATGGGTTGAGCATATCTAGCTTGAGAGGTCAAGGCTATGATCGAGCAAGTAATATGTCAGGTGATTTCAATGGGTTGAAAGCTTTAATTCTAAGAGAGAACCCACATGCGATATATGTTCATTGCTTTGCTCACCAACTTCAGTTGGCAATTGTATCTATGACACATAGGAATTGTATACTTGGTGATTTTTTCGACATACTTGCTATTATTGTGAATTTGGTTAGTGCATCATGTAAGAGTGTAGATGCTCTTCGAACAAGTTATCAAGCTAATATTCTGGAGAAGCTTAATATTAGGAAACTTACTTGTGGAAGTGATCAATTTCAAGAAATGATTTTGGCGCGGCCAGGTGATACTAGGTGGGGCTCACATCTACTGACAATTACT